CTAAGTTCCTTGCTTCCTGTGCAGACCCATTTAACTTGTTCCATAAAAGGGGGGCAACTATCTGAAGTGTTTTCTTTGTTTCTGCAATTGCTCTTTCAAGCAAGGGAGAATTGTCATTATGTCTTAAGCTACAGTACGAAGGCTGTTGAATGCTAATTAGGTCTGAAAGGTACTTAAGCGCACGACCGTGAAAATTTTATAAGTTATTAAAATATCTTGTAATGTATTCTGGCGCGCACTGGTAACCAATGTAATTCTGCAAGCAGAGGTGCTATGTGACAGAACGTGGATGCGCGATAAATAAGTCTTGCACTTGCATTCATAACACGGCTGCAAGTTCCCATCGAGTTAAGCCGTAAGGCTTCAAACCTTTTAACAATGTTGTTTCGTTCTGTCACGATTGATTTTTGAAGCTCAAGATGATAAGTATATATGCATGGCTGGAAAAGAACAAAGTGATCTTTCTGACTTGGAATGAGGCTTTGCGACGGAGAGAACAATTCTTTAGAACGGTAGATACTACTTTTAAGTATTAATAGAAGATGTCACGAAAAATCAGACAAATTCACAAATCATTGGCAACAGTTAAAAAATCGAATTGGCTCATATTCTAGTACCAGGTAGGCCTATAGGCACAAGCAAACCTCTTTGCAATCTATCCTGTTTCAATTACTTTAGATTTTTCTGGTACAGTTTCAAACTTTTGAGCTTAGCATTCGATTAAGTTCCCACAAACAAAATTAGATCATTTCTAATTTCCTAGACGCATTTTCCAGTTTAATAGAGAATTACTGCAGTTGATAAGCTCCTCGAAAACGGGCCGTAGCTGTACAACATATTATTTTGCTTTGCTGATCTAAAAATTTAAATTTATGAAAAGATCACGATATTGGGTAATTGGTCAATATTTGTGCCACGTAAGGGATATTTTCGGCACCAAAAAGTTGGGGGGGGGAGGGGAACTGCGCCCCCACAAAGTTTTGTTTTAGGGGGCTACGGCCCCCCTGCCCCACCTGCTCTGCTGCTTATAAAAACACTTTTGGGTCATATTAAGAGAGGTTGTCACGAAAAATCAAACATTCACCGGCAACACTCAAAAATCGAATTGGCTCATATTCTAGTATTAGGTAGGCCTCTAGGTAAGACAAATCAAGACATATATAGTTTGTTGAAAAATTCTTCTATTTTCGGGAAAATTGATAAAACTCAATTTATTCATAATTAGCGTCGTTTGAAGGTCGAATTTAGCCTATTTTGTGAGGCCTCGTTTACTTGTAAAAGAAGAATTTTAGAACAATATCCACAGAATTTTAGAACAATATCTCCCCTAAGTGTTCACAAAAAATTAGAATCACTATTTGAATTGAAACAAAATACGGATTTTTCTATCTATTTACCTAAGTGCCGTGTGAAAAGTAGCGTAGCTTCAAACAATTTCAAAAAATCCTGCAACTTTGCTATTTAAGAAATCTCAAACCACTTGCATAATAGGAATATAAATCTAACAATTACGTGACACAAGTCGCGTAGTGAAAACCATGTCTACTTATTTCTTCAAAACGAATGCTTTCGGAGAAAAAAAAGCAAGTAATTTAAGGACGTAATTTGTAGCATTCAAGCATTTATTATTGCCACTGAAGCTCTCAAACTGGAAATGATGAAAAATAAGGTCTTTTGTTTTATGTTGCCGACTTCGCAGAAGAGCCAAATTTCTATGGCCCTCGTAGGCATAGCAGCACAAAAACCCCAGAAAAACAAACGGTAAGTTTATCATTTCTACTTCTCATCTTTCAAATATTAAACGTTTATTTCACTTAGCACATATTAAAATAATTCCCCCCACACACACACACACACACACACGCGCACACGCACACGCACACGTGCATGCACACGCACACGCGCATACTCACACACACACACACACACACACACACACTCACGTTTCAGAATGCTCCGCCTCCTCTGAAGTTTCAGGATTTTCAACGAAAAGTCTCGCAATTTTCTGGTCGTAAATGCCAGTGAACAACAATTTATNTACATTTAGCTGGGTGTATATCGAGTTATGAATGCACCTGGGAAGTTAAGAGAACACTCAAGAAGCTAGAGTTGCCTTTGGCTGCGCCTCGAGCAATTTTTACGTTTCTCTCGTGCTCTCCGAGCTTCCCACGGGCATCCATAACTTGAAATACGGTAGCTATGCATGAACCAATTCCTTAATATGCAAAACTGTTGAGAAAGCTTAAGCTGATCATTAGAAGCTTGAAGACTAGAAATCTGATGCTCAAGTTTGTTATAGATAATGTCAGCACCTTCGAGCCACAAAGAAGCAGATAGCGATCACGATCTTAAAAAATATCGGAAACAAGGGAGCACCTGTATCACAAATATTAAGTTTCGACCACTTTCGCTCATTAAGGCTACATCGAAAGGATATGTTGTCGAAAATTGCAAAGTTTACTGTTTGCGCATTAATATTCAGTTAAGTCAACATTTTCGCAAAATTTAGTGAGTTGTAACCAAATTTGGTCGCTGCATCATTCGATAAAACATCAGAAACCAAGCGAAGTGAATATTTGCAACACTCCGAATAAGCTAACTACGTCTACAATGTTACATTGTTGTATTTACCGCTAAGAAAACATTTGTAGAATTCCGCTTTAGACCTTAATTTCGTAAGCGCGTAAATCTAGGCGTTTTTAACCTGATTTAAAAATTACAGAACCTTGTAATCAAGACAACTCATGAAGTTCTGGCTTATTTTGAATTACACAAGCTCATTGCGTGAAAAATTAAAAGTCTATGGAGTGCCATTATATTACCGCCAATATTCAGCTACTGTTTTTTTTATAAAATGGTGCTTAAGATATGAAGCCAATATGTTTTATGCTGCTAATCATTTTAGAAAATGGTGCCTTAAAAAATATGGAGCGCTTTTTATGAAGCCAATTATGTTCAGTATGTAGCTAATCATTTAAATAAAATGGTGCCGCATCATTTTATAAAATGATTAGCTGCATAAAACACAATTGACTTCATATCTTCAGCACTATTTTATAAAAAAACAGTAGCTGAATATTGGCGGTAATGGCACCCCATAAAAGTCAGGCCTCTGCTTCATTACACCTGAATTTCACATCACTTGTGAAATTCAAAGTCTTTCATGGTTTCTTACAACAGGATCTGCATCAACTTTGATGGTCGATGGAAACAATACCTCACTGTGTAAATAGTTCACCCTGAAGTAAATGATAGATTCGTTTCACTAAAGAAACGAAAGAAAAAAGTAAATGAATAGGCCACTTAATAAAGCATTGAGTAATGAACAGTACCTGAAAAGCTTCGCGCTGTTCTTCAGTTGCCGAAAATGCCAAATTAAACTTTCACCGTGTTCTAATCTCACTGAGTTAGACTGCGAGCCAAGCGGAAATATACATTTTGTATTCCAATTCTCAAGCATGTCCTGAGGCCGTAATCAAAGGCTTCTTGGAGCCACCTTATGGTAACTCTGACTACACGTGTAATGTTTTGTTTTTGTTCTGAAGTGTTTGGTAGAAATGTCCAAATTCATGGGACTTGCAAAGAATAAGTGAAAGTTTAATTATAATAGAACTCAGAACTGACAGGTTTTAACCAAAAAAATCCATTTTATAGGAACTGTATGTGGTTAACGGCTGAAAGCCACTGATTTTCAAAAAAGAAGTTAAAGGAGTAAACACGATAAATCTCTTTTTTCTTACTCACCAAAACATTACGGCATAAAATACAATTCAATATCTAAGCATGCGTCAATTTCGAATCTGTTACTATTTCGCAATCTTCCCCCTGATTTATTATTTACTGTCGACCTTTTTTTCGTTTGAGGCCGGCTGTGGATATTATAGATTAGTATATACTAAAACAGTGGATAGCGTTGAAGGCGCGCTCTGATTGGTTGGTCAAACTCCAAATATCCTTTGCTATTTACCTCCGAGCAACTCGGGAAAAAATGGCGTCCCGGTTTGCATCCGTGACAAGCAAAGAAATCACTCAAATCAATTTTTGGTGGTGTATATTACCTCGATGTTTTAGTATATACTAAAACAACTATTCACCGAAGTGGAGGTGGTTGGCGGTGGATGTTTACTGAGCCGCGAAGCGGCGAGATAAATATCCACCACTAACCACCTCCACTT